TGTCCTGTCTGGGCCAAAACTCTTTCACCCTCACCAAAAACTAAACCCCTATCCAGTTTCTTTACATGGGGACTCCCATGGTGCAATTAAAATGATTTTTTTTTTTAAGAAAAAAATCTGACGTGTAAGCAATCTGCAGTCAAAGTGGGTGCTCCTGACACAGGACAAAAGTTGCCCACCTGTTCCCCACTCTACACCTGCCTTCCCTCTCAAGGCCAGACTGATGCAGGGCTGGCTGCCACTCTACTGCGTGGCGAGGGTTGTGCTTTCGTGTCACAGGGCAGGAGGACACCCCACGCCTGCCCCACAGAGCAGGGCCTTCTGTGTCATTAGAGCCAGGCTGAGGTGTGCGCTGCACCTGCCCGTCAGCAGCTGCAGCTGGCCAGCTGAGGCCGCACACCAGAATCCCAGGGCTCGGCTCATCTGCAGCAGCTGGGAGGAGGCAGCTGATGAGCAGCCCTTCTCGGTGGAGGAGGGGGACATCATGGAGCAGCAGCAAAAACACAGGCCAGCAAGTCTTCCCTCAAAACCTTTGCAGCCTCCGACCCATCAATTCAGCATAATGTCAAATCCAATGGAAAAATCAAAAACAGAGTGCAGGGGGGAAAGAGAAATCATTTTGGCTGCAGATTTAAAACTCCTCTTGCCCTCTGCAAGTCAATATGGCCCTTGCCCTTTGTGCATCCCCCCTCACATTCGGGAAACTTGCGTGCTTGCCACTCACTGAGCCCCGGATTCCCTGAGCCCTGGGACCCTGGTAACCCAGGCGGAGGGGACCTGCCTGGGGAGGAGACCAGGTACTCAGTCACCACAGCCTGTGGCTTTCTTGTCTCTGTCCCTCCACAGCCCAGTCCCAGCAACCCCACATCTGGGGTTGAGCTCCTCGGGAGACACTGTGGAGCTTCTGAGGGATGTAGAAACAGCTGGTTAGACAGGGGAAGCCCACATAAGATAGCAGTGTGCTACAGGCCCGCAGCTGACCCGTTCTCCTCGAGGAGGAGCCGGTCCTGCACACCTTTCCCTTCCCTGTCATCATCAACACAGTGTACGGGAAAACCAGTCTACCTTCCTTCCACAGCTATATGCACAAGAGCCCAAAAAGGTGCCCCTTCTTACCCAGCCAGTGAAGGAAGCTGCGTTCCAAGGGAACCACACTCCCAGCCCAACTTTCTTTCCATTTTGAGGGGGGAGGAGTTCCCCGAAGTTGCTACTCTGCCCAGGCTGGGCTCAAACTTACCATCCTCCTGCATCTGTCTCCCAGGCAGGGGCTATCACACTCAGCATGGAAGGACTTATATCTTGGCTCAAGCTCCTGAGCCATAGAGGCCCAGGACCTGGAGTCTTCAGGTGTTTAAAGCTTAGATAGAATAAGCACCACAGGCCTTGCCTGGATATGAAACGCTGGTGGAAGCAAAGAAAGCCATCCCAAGGTGCAGGGGAGAGGCCCCAGGTGGTGGGACAGGCAGGAAAAGCTGGTGGCCACACAGGCTGGGTGGGACTCTGCAGAGTGAGAAAGGAAGTGCCCAGTCTGCTTTGTAGAAGAGAGATGTCCTGCAGCTTCCAAAATGGCCTGACAGTGGAGGAGGAGCCCAAAACTCAGGGAGGCAGTGGGCTGTGAGACCTCCCAGTGCAGGGTCCCACGGCCCCCAGCAAGGTCAGGATGGACACCCCATCTCACCCCCTCAGGGGAACCCCCGACAGAGCCTGGGCTCAGTCCCATGCCCAGTTCCCTTTTCTTTGTGTCCGTGTAGAATAATATGCAATTAATTGATTTTCTGTCACTCTTTTAGCCCAGAAAATTAATTTCAGAGCAACCTTGTTTTCTGGGGGTGTGAATCCTCCACCCGAGGAGCAAGGCAGCTCCTCCATTATTCATGAGCCGGAAGGCTGACGAAGTGTGCACCAGGCCGCCCCAAGGCCACCCAGTGATCGTCTGTGTTACCTGTGCAACAGCCCTTGCAGCCGATAAATAATCCGCACTACAGCTCAATCCATGCCAGGGAGAGGAAGCAGCCAGGGCACAGATGCCACCTGGGCCAGTGAGGTGCAGCTCTGGCTGCAGCCTGGATGTTGAACAGCCCCTTGGTGACCCTTGCACACATACATAAAAGAGGGTTATGATTTGGGATTGGACTGCTGGGGGCCGAGCGGGTGGAGGCCAGAGGCCCCAAAGCCAGCTTTCCAACCTCAGGTCTCTTTTTCCTCCAAATTTGAACCCAGGGCCCTGGTCCTGAGCTACATTCCCTTCCCTCTTTTAATTTTTTATTTTGCAGCAAGGTCTCTCTAAGTTGACTAGGCTGGAACTTGGCTGCCTCCAAGGGGCAGTCTTCCAGAGTGCTGGCATTGCATGTACTGGGCACTGCACTCAGCCTACCTGGAGATGAGGAATTATTTTAAACCTAGCTGTTTGTCAAGTTTATTGGATGCTTTTGTCAAAAGACAACTTTGTAGCCTCCACCCAGATCTATGGAACTGGGACCACCTGTGGACTTGGGCCTTCAACAAGGTAACTAGGTAACTGTAGGGCCAGAGTGGTAGGAACCACAGGACCATCTGCTACCAAGGGCCCAGTGGAAGGACCTAGGTCTCACTGTCTCCAAAAGGAAGACAGAACCCCATTGCAATTTCCAGACCCTCTTGAGATGGATGTGTGTGATAGGAAGGAGCCTAAGGTGGTCCAAGGTTCCAATCCCTGGTATATACATCCTATGAGATTTCCCAGTCCCTAGGTTTCAACAGGAATGATGAATATCATGGTATGTCACTCCTATGATTGGATTACTCATCAGTTAACTTTTACATACAGTAGTTGTACTTTTCTACTGGGAGTGGTTTCTAAGCTTCTCCCACAAATCCTGAAATCAGGATTAGTACAAACACTATAATGCCAGGACCGCCAATGTGATCACCAAGATGACTACTAAGTGATTGGTGGGTAGGCAGCATATACAGTGTGGATACACTGGAAAAAGGAATGATTCATACCCTACATAGGATAGGGTGGGATAATGAGATTTCTTCCTGCCACTCAGAATGCTGTGCAATTTAAAACTTATACATTGTTTATTCCTGGGACTTCCTATGTAACATATTTGAAACAGAGCTGTTCCTAAATAACTGAAACTATGGAATGAGAAACAGCAAACAAACCGGGGGGGGGGGGGGGCGGGGGGCACTGTAGTCCCTAGGGAAAGTATCCTGGATGGATTCATGATGGAGTCCATGTGTCTAAAACCTGAACTTGGCCTCTAGCTGCTCAGAGCCTTAGGCAACAGTCAGCAATAAAATGGGCATCAATTCTACAGCCTCAAGGAAATGGAGTCTGCCAATATCTAACAGACATGGCACAGAGCCCTGAGCCTCAAGCGGAATCCCAGTCCAACTGACCCCTTCAGGGAGCCTGGAAACAGTGAGCTGAGGACCAGATAACCCATCCCAGGCCTCCTGATTCACAGAAACTAGGAAAGAACAAATGGGTACTGTGTTAAAGCACTAAGCCAAACTGACTTGTTAGGCACCCACAGAAAACAAGTGTAACATACAATAAAATTAAAGCTATGGCACATGCCTGCCCACTGCAGTTCACAGAACACTTTGACAAGCCTACATCTTACCATCTGGGCAGCCCAAGGGTCTGTCTCTGCATACCATGCCCAGGAAAATGTTGGACAAATGAGTGGGGCAGGTGGTCAGTTTTTCTTTTTCTTTGTCTTTTCTTTTTCTGTCTGTTATTGGAGGTTGAACCCAGGGCCTTCGCACCAAGGTACATGCCCAGTGCTATGATTAATGGCTCTAGATTTAAGGCATGAGTATAACTGCCCTAGGGTGGGTAGCCTGGGTAAGATACAAGGGACAGAAAGAGGCTGGTTGATTGTCACTTGCTGGCTGCCTTGGAATGTTTCTGCTCGCAATCTCTATGTGCTGTGCCACCCTGCCTTGGAGCTGGTTGATTATGGACTGAAGCCTCTACAAACTGTGAACCAAATGAATATTTCCTCTCTTAACTTGCTGGGTATTTTATCTCAGCAATGATAAAGTAACTAAGACAGGATCTCACTAAATTGGCTAGGTGAGGCTTGAATTTGGATCTTCCTGCTCCAGCCTCCCAGAATACCTGATAGCTTTATTTATTCTGAATGTCTACTTAACAGATAAGGAAAAAGAAGGCCAATAAACATCTCCAAGGTTATATAGAGTCTATTACAGACCTGGGATTCAAGCTCAAGCCTTCAGATTCCGAGGCCAGGGTCCTGTCCTGTGTGTCACTGCTCCCAGCACCATCCTTTCCAAGCACTGTAAAGATAGTCAGTTTGAGTTTTAAGTCCTGGGTCTGTAAGACTATGACTTGCTAAAAAGGAGAGTGGTTGAAAGGTGAGTGCACCGTGGGCTCCCAGTGTGGTTTGAATATGGCTATTGTCCTCCAAGTCCCAACATAGAAGCTTAATCCCCGACATGGCCCTATGGAAGAGGACCTCAGTGGGAGGGGTGGCCCAGGGGCCAGCGGGGACACACATCCAAAGGAGATGGCGTGGCCCTGACAGCTTCTGTCTCTTCGCTGACTGCTGCTGAGACTTGTGCTCCTGCTACTGCAGAACTCAAACCAGGAGGGCTGTTGACCTACAGTTCTACCCTCCAGACTGTGAGCCTTTTCTCATAATAAGATAATTGTTTCCGGCCCTTCCTTATAATAACATGAAAATGACAGCTACAGAGGCCTGCCTTCTCCACACAGCTGTCTCCCCCATTCCACCCTTAGGTGCACAGTGGGCAAAACTTGGAAGTGAGAAGCCACTCCAGCTGCAGGCCCCAGGTCTGTTGTGGATCTCCTGCTATGCACCTTGCCAGGCACCCTCTGCCAAGCCTCTGAGCATAGCCTCGCTCTCCCAACCTCCCTTGACCCAGGGAGGCTGACGGTCCAGCCAAATCACTCATCAACCAACCCATTGCCATTTGTCATTAATAATGTCACACCAAATCCAAGCAACAATTGGAAAAACAGATTGCAACATTGTACTCTTTATTGCTGGTGTTTCTGTGGAACATTAGCAATCAGAAGCCTCCAGAGAGAAACTGTAAAAGAAAAAAAAAATAGACCCAGAGCAAAAAAGCAAGCAGAAAGGTACTTTATCCCTCGCTACAAACTTCACGACATAGCCACTTTGTAACATGCACCATATGCAGCAGCCTGCACAAAGCCCAATAACCTCTTTCCGACTCGTAATAAATCCCCTCGGACCCCAACACACTTGTAATTTACAACTTGGCTAAAATGAACATTATTTCAAGCTAAGCTTATTCTCAGAGGTGCAGGAGAATGTGGCAGCTTTCCTGCTGACAGAGGAGTTTCTTTTTAAATGTCATGCATTCACTTTCATTACTTCCAAATAATTGCCCGAAAAGATCGGCTGCTGGACAGGGCAGCCCACTTTACATCAGCATGATTCAATTTCCTCATCATCAAAGGAGCCCCAGGGGGCTGGTTCCAGCCCGGGGCAGGCTCAGGCCTCAGTTGCTGCCTCCCCATTGGCTTCCTGGCAGTGCAGAAAAAGGTGTTGCGTCATTGCACGGGAAAGCCGCGGGTATGTTGTCTACTGAGAGACAATACAACCTGTCAGCACAGGCACCACAGAGTCCCTCCTTTCTGCATCCATCAGATCATGTGTGTCATTGTCTTCAGGGTCCAGGCATCATGCTTGTTACCTGGAGCTGAGCAGAAGGCACCCATTCTCATCTCATGGAAGTTGGGTCTTTGGCAAAGAAGATGGGGAACAGGAAGATGGAAGCCACTGGCATTAAACAGGGTGCTTTGCCGTCCCGTTTGATCTGCCCACTGTTGATCTGCAAAGACCAGGTCAGAGGAACACACAAACGGGGAGCAACCAAGAACGTGAATGCCAGGTGAAGCAGTCCCTCGGAGCCAGCTTTGGAGACCAGCCCAGAAGCAGGAAGAGGGAAAGCAGAGAGAGATGCAATTCCAGTGTCCCTTGTAGGAAAAGGAGAGCGTTCAGTCTCTAACTCCCTGGGGCCAAGTGTGTTCCAGCATTTTGGTTCCCCGCTCTATGCTTTATCTGTGAGGTGCATTTTTCCCAACCCAAGCAGATGGCAAGGTCCATGAGCCCTGGATGCCCCTCTCTGATGTACCTCCTCTCACCCTCCTAGCTCCCAGCTCACACTACACAAGCCATGCTGGTAGCCCTGTCTTTATAGAGCTTCTGAAGGAAAACTTAACGACTCTGCTGTTTCTTGTCATTTTATTGATAGAACAACTTCCTGCCCTCTGCCCAGCTTAGCCTGCAGCCCAGTCTCTGGAGACCTGTTCTACCCTCAGACATAGGTACAGACCTCTCGGTTCTCCAGCCAGAACCTAACCACAGGCAGAGTCGAGTCGGAGAGGCCCTGGCCCAATGTCTGGGGCTCAACCCCCACCCCCATTATTACACAATTATAGCTGTGCTCTGATTTTGAACGCCACGTTGACATTTAGGCTTTAACTTTAACCTCAAAACTGTTGTCTTTAATTTCTCTTGCTCCTTAATCTGAGTTTTAGCCAAAGAGTCAACCAAAAGTTTCATTTACTTAAAACCAGGAAGCCAGGCATGCCAGGAACTGCAGAGACCTGGGCACCAGGATAAGACCAACCCTGCTGCCTGTAGACCATCTCCAGGTGCTGTCTCTCCCCGCCAAGACTTCTCGCCCCAGATTTGCCCCATCATGCTCCCCCTGTCCTCAGACCTCTATCTCATGTGCTCAGACCCCTTGTTGATGGCTGCACATACGGTCACACATTAAGGAAGAACATCTGGCCCACACAGCTGGGATCCATTCCTACCTGAAGGCAAGCAGTCCCAGGGCCCTGAGTCTAACTGCTGGCTTTTAGTCTCTGTCTTCTTTGTTCCTCCCTACGGCATCTGGCTGCACCTCCACGTTCACAAAATGCAGCCCTGTGGGTGGGATAACATGGAGGGGAATCCCTCTGTCACTCCTCTGCTCCCTTTCATCTGGACACCATTGCAAAGGGTGGAGCGGAGGTCAAATAGCAGCCGAGAAAGGGCTGCCCCCAAGGGTGATGAGCAAGCCCTGAGTTCAAACAAAGCGGCAGCCGTATCCGATGGGAGACTCAGCAGAGGTAAGTGATTTCTTGAGGAGTCTCAATCGTGGGAATACAAGCAAGAAGCAGTTTTATTTCTTCTAATCGTGGCCTCACTTGTGATAGCTTTAATTACCTTCTCTTATTTATTTATTTAGCTTACACAAAGCTAATTTATTAACAGAAAACAATTTGAGTCTTGTTCACAGATAGCAACCTTGCTGACCTCCCTTCCTGCAGGTGCTGTTGGAGGGCACCGGGGTGACATCCTCAAGCCACCCAATCTTCATTCTCGAGTTGGCAAGTGCTCTGAGGACTGATGGAGCACCAGGCCTGGGATCTTAGTCCTGTTTCCTGGTGTGGTCCAGAGTTTGATATGCAGGGTGGTGATGCCCAACTCTTTGCACCTCGGGGCCATGTCCCGGGCAGCCACCACGGCAGTGTTCAGGGCAGGTTCATCTCAACCAGCCTTCACCCCAGCCCACCAGTCACACGACACATGGCTGCCCTGCCAGAAAAATCAGTGACATGGACAAAAGCGTCATTGAAGGATGCAAAGATGTGACCAACACTGAATCTATTCCTGCCTTCAGCAGCTGAGGCCAAGGCTGCTGGCCTGGTCCTTCTTTCCTTCCACTCGCGAGGTGCCATCTCTGTAGGCGATCTCCAAGCATCTCAGGCAGAAACTGCAACTTTCTAATCATACTCATTGATTAAAGTGGTTTGATACAGTACATTCAAAGGCTTTTGGAAATTGTTTTCTTTCTGTGTGATTGTGACTTCCTGATTTGAAGAATATCCTTAATTTTAAGAAAATAGACAAAACTGTTCCGAGACGAAGTGTCATGGGATGACAGTTCACTCTGAGACAGGTAGATGATGCAGAGAAGGAAGGAAAGGAGGGATGGAGATGGAGGGATGGAGACAGGAAGGGAGGGGAGAAGAAAAGAAGGAAAGTGGGAGCTAGATCTTAATAATTAATGAAACTAAGAGGTGATTAATTGGATGTTCATTGTTCTGATTGTCCCACACTTCTGTTTATTTAAAATTTTCCACAATAAAAAGTCAAAGAAGAAATTCAGCCTGCTCCTCACTTTCATGTTTATGCATTTTGAGGTTCTTCCTGTTTCCATCACTGACTGCATGTAGGGCTGTGAGACCTGTAAGAGGGTGGGGAGTCAGGGTTTTCACATGCCACATGGGAGGAGGAAGCCTCCCTTTGCCAGGATGTGCGTGGTTAGGATGGTGCCAGCGGTGGGCAGCACTGACCTCTCTGTATTGCTCTCTGTGCAGCACTCACTGAGAGTTTTGCAGGATTGTGTGGATCCACCCCACTGTACAGGGCTCTGCTGGACCACACCCACCTCTAATTTTCCTCCTTCACCCCAGCCCCTTGGCTCTGGCCACCTGCAGTCCATCTTGAAGGCTCTTACTCCTGGGTCACTTTCTTAAAGAGTAATCCTCTAGTGCAATGCAGCCAGATGCCCAGGCCAGCTTTCTTCATGGTGCCTCCTTAATCTAAGAAGAACTCACAAAGCCAGAAGTAGGGAAGACTGCTCCAACTCTGTTTTCTTCTGGCTCCATGGCTGGTCTATGAGTCACTTATAGCCAAGAAAATAAATATTGACTTTTCCATCTGTGTAAGTTCTGTTAGTCACCTTTCAATTGCTGGGGAAAAATTACCTGGAAAACACAACTTAAAAGAGGAAATGCTTATCTCAGCTTATATTTTCAGAATTTTTAGTTGACTCTGTTGCTTCCAGTGAGTAGAAGCATCACAGCAGAAATGTGTGTGATGGGAGAAAACTGCTCTTCTCACAGCAGGCAGGAAGCAGAGTAAGCAAGAATCATAGAGAAAGGGACCAGGGAGCAGATAATAGTCCCCAAGGCCCATCCCTTTCCTCCAGTTAGTCGCTCCTGGAACTAAAGCCAAAGACCTAAGCATTCCTCCCTGGGTTAATCCATTGAGGAGGTTAGTGCCTTCAGAGTCCACTCAACTCTCTGAGCATCTGTCAATCTGAGAAGATTGACAATCAGCTTCACCGTAACATGTCACACAAGTGGACCCTCCCATTTCCCATCTTGGGAAAGGGAGCCCAAGACCCCTTCCTCGCTCCTTCACCATGAGCCCTGCAGCTCCACCAACCCCATTATGGTACCTCTCATTCCACAGCTCTGAGGGCCAGCGTGGGAAGGTGTAGGTGATCAGTGTTGACATGCACAGGAAGCCCTGGGAGAAGGCGCTGGCCTAACTGCCAGTGACTCTCTCTAAAGCATGGCGGTTAGTGCTTCCTCTATTCAGCTGTGGGCCTCAATCACTGATTCTGTGACAGTGAATGAATTTCTACTCCACATCCTTAACAGAGGCATGAATATATTTAGTATATGTGAGTGTGGGAAAGCCAGGTTACAACCCAGCTTCCAGCTGACTGCGTGTATCACTTGGCATCTCTGATTAAGGTTGGCAAGAGCTCAGTATCTGTTCAGTGCTTACAGATTCCTGGGGATCCTGCGAGGTACTTAGGGGCGAAGCCGGTATTGACCTGCACCTCACAAACCACCAAGGAGCCAGGAGAGGGAGTCAGCTCATCACCCTAATTTGTTTTTAATACCAGGGATCCAAGTGAGGGTTTTAAAAAGAGAGTTTTGTCCTAAAAGCATGTGAAAACTTTTTTTCAATCCAAATGCTTCATTTGACTGCTCCAAGAAATACCAGCGTCTTTGGGGGTGGATGTGGGGTGCACTGTCAGCCCATTTAACAGAAGAGACTCGGTTCCCAGGTGGAGCAGGAAAGGATCTTTTGAAACGTTATGTCTAGAGGAGCAGCTTGAGCACCACCATTGACCAGGAGAGTCAGCCCCAGCTAGGCTTTTCTCTCTGTATGTGAGTGTGTGTGGGTGGGTGAGCTTGTGCACACGTGTGCTCTCCCTTCTGTCTGCCTGCTGTGTAGCAGGTAGGTTCAGTTCAAAACCACACAAGACACCTGTGGCTGGAAAATCATCCCTTCAGCACCATCTGTGATGGTGGACTGATTGTGTCAGCTTGGTAAGAGAAGTTCAGCTAAATCAGCTCAGAAATCCCACCGCCAAGGGTGTAGAAGGCCCCCCCTAGGGAAGCGCACTGCCCGGTCAGGATAAAGCGGAAATGAAGAAGGGTGATTGGTTTCTTCTTCCTTTAAAGAGCTCCAGTCTTCACCTTCACCTTCACCTTGCACGTCATCTCCTGGCTTCCAGGGCAGACTCTTTAGCTTCCGGCACTGACCCGCAGCCTTCTGGTGTAGACAACTCAGCCTTCCATCACAGACCCATCGGTCTCCTAATACAGATTCGCACGGGATACTGCAGTGAGCTCCAGACCTCAGGCTGGACCCTTCAGTGTTCAGTGTGCAGAGGTCCTCTGCACACTTCATCATCTGACTCTGCGGGTGGCCACTGCCAGGCAATCTTACAAATTATACATTTGTATATCTTGTGTTATGTCTGTTTCCCTAGTAAACACTGAAACACTGCCACTGAGGAGTGGAGACAGAGCAAGAGCGAGAAAGAGAGAGAAAGAGAGAGAGAGAGAGAGAGAGAGAGAGAGAGAGAGAGAGAGAGAGAGCCAGGAGACAGGGAAAGGGGGTAGATGCACACAGAGATGGTAAACTTCCTGCCTCATATGTATTTCAAAAGAAGCAGCCCAGGGCCTTCCCAAACTTCCTGGTACACTGGGAAGAACAGAAGAGAAACGGGGTCAGGAAGATGTTGGATTGGTAGAGAATTTCATCCATCGGATGCTCAAAAAGGTTGAGCTGTGTACTTTGCAACAATGGTGGCCAAAGATGTACAGGAAGGGAGTCCTCTGAGAATATATGGCCTAGCAACATCATAGCAATTTCAGTCTAGGAGCACACTCAGTGATGGTCACACTCCAGTGCAGTCACTCAGTGACATATTTCTGAGAATATGTCCCCATCATTAAGCAATGCACAGTTGTACCTGATCAACCACTCTGTGTGTGGATGCTGGACTGTTTCCTTAGCTAGAGGAGAGGTAGGCAAAGCAGGTCTTCAGGACCCCTACTGTGTCCCTGCCTGGGCCAGGGCTCAGCCTCCCTGAGGAATGGCAAGGTCCAGGCTCTGGCAGGAGAGACTGCATTCTGTCAACTCTGAGTGGCATCCGTGGAGTGCCACGTCCCAGCGTCCCATGTCCTCTGCATAAATGCAATTTCCTCAAATGTCAGGAGGAAAGCATTACAGATAACACATTGTCTGTGTCTTTGACCTAGTAAGTGCTGAAATCACAGATCTCATTATTCTGACATGATAGAATGTTCTCTCTTTCTCTCTCCTCTGCAGCCTGGCTGCCGTTGTTTTTGAGATTGCAGACCTAATTGCCAAAGTGCAAAGCCACCACCGGAAAAACAGCCCCACCCGGTGCCTACGCCAAATCAAATGTCACAGCTCCTTGTGTGAAAAGAAAATGATGTTGAAGGAGCTCATAACAGGACGTTGAATTGAAGGTAATTTTGGCCACAGCTGCATGGGCAGCTAAAGATAGTCTTTGACCTTGAAAGCAGAGTTACCATGGGTGAGTCTGCCCGTGCCCTGATCCCCAGCGCGAGGACACTCAGGGGTTTAGAGGGCCATGAGAGGGGGCACGTGCAGCAACAAGCCCTAGATTTTAATTCTAGCTCTGTTACTTCCATCCGTGGGGTCACACTCAAGTTAGCAAACCTCTTCTGCTTTCCTGCTTCTCCTTAAAAACAAAACATTAAAACCATATGAGGCCAAGAGAAGGTGATACTTTGTTTTTACTATTTGTTTCTGAGAGGAGCCCTGTGTGAGCACAAAGAGGAAAAAGGTGGAGTTCTAGCTCTCCAAAGTCTTGATGTGGAGCTAATGAAAGATGTGGCATATGCTTGCAGGGAGCCAGGCAAGAAGCAGAGGCAGTCTTTGAAGTCAGGGAAAGAGCCGGTGTGCAGGTGTTTGGAAGCAGAAGGGCGAGCTAGAGGATCCTTTGCAGGAAGTGGGGAAAGATGGGGTCTCTCAGGCAGCATCAAGCAGGGCAGTGGTGTTCTGAAAAGGAAAATTTCAGTTACATTCAGGCAAGTTAGAAGTGAAACCATGTGATGCTAGTACACATATTGGGAGCTTTCCCACCTGCTGTGATGAGATCCCCGTCTTGCTATGACAGCAACAACCTGCCCTGCTGACCTCCCTAGAGGCTCTTTTACCACTTCTCCAAGGAGTCTTTGCAGAAGTCCCCGCCTACCTGTGTTTTCCTGTGTCAGGCTTCTCCTCCAGCTCCGGACCACTATGAATCCACTCTTACATCCTGCTCAGATCACAAATTCCACCTCTTTCCATCGAGCTTAGTGTTTAGAACTAGAGGTTGCCTACCCTTTCTACTATAAACACAACAAGTAAAATGCATAAATTGAATTTTTCTGGTTGTAAAAACCAGTGCTGTTTGTATTCATTATAAATTGGAGAAATATCAACAGACTTAAAAGGCACTCGTTGCTGGTGTTAAATACAATGAGACGCCCATGTGGAAGGGAAAACCTGTGAGGCAGTCGGTCTCCCCGGGGCAAGGCCCAGCCACCTCTGGATGTGCGCAATCCTGTGGTAGCACAAGTGCAAATTCACGAAGCTTTGCTGCTTAGCATGTGGAAGTGGGAGACTCTATTTGCCCTCTCTTCTGACAAAAAGAAGGCTGAAAGCCTATGGGTCATGGAGCACTGTGACCTTGGTGATTAGGGCTGTGATACTGTTGTAAAGATTTGTTTTTTCCTCTTACGAGAATTTCAGATTTCTATCTTTGTCACCAACCTAGCAGTTGGTCCTTACTTTATAGAACTAAAATATGAAACCAGACATCTAACTGCCCCCGCTATAATCCCAACACACAGGGAAGCTTACATAGTGTTGAGGATTCAAGCCCAGACTGGGCAACTTAGCAGGACCCTATCTTGAAATATGAAAGGGCAGGAGATATAGCTCAGTATGAAGACCCTGACATATGCTCAGGACTGTGTAGCTTGATATACACAGAGACTATATATACACAAATCTAAATATGCAGCTTTGCATTTTGTTTTCACTTAAGGTCTCGTCATGTTAGCGCCAGCGATTTAGCTCAGCAGTTCAAGCACTTGCCTGGTAACAGTGAGGCTGTGAATTCTCTCTCTGGCACCAAAATAAATAAATAAATAAAACCAAAATTTTTTAAAAATCTCATCATGTCAGGGAAAAATTCAAGAGGGAGGAATAGCGGTCAAAAATATATATGCACCAGATATAAGAGTACCCAGCTATACAGAACAAATGTTAATATACAGGAAGGATCAAATACGCAGCAACACAGTTGTGACCAGGGACCTTAATACTCCATTGCCACAGAGACAGATGGACTAGACAAGAAGTCAGCAAAGAAATGACAGAACTGAATCAAACATGTGAGACAATGGGCTTGGTAGACGTCTGGAGAATGTTTCACCCAGCATTGTTGGAATGTACAGCCTTCTCAGCTGCACATGGGACGTTCTCTACAAGAGACAATGTGCTAGCCTATAGAACGTGCTTAAGTAAATGCAAAGGGATTGAAATTGATCCTTGCATGTTATCTGATCATAATGCACTGAAATTGTAAATTAATGGCAGGGGAAACTGAAAAAAAAATCCATAAGAGCATGGAGATTGAGTGGCACCCTCCTACACAACCAATGGGTCACAGGTTAAAGAAAAAATCAAACAGTGTCTACAATCAAATGAAAATGTAGACACAATACACCAGGCCACAATGAAAGAGGAAAATACATAGTAGTGAATTCTCACATCAGGAAAACAGAGTGAGCACAAATAAACAATCTAATGCTGCACCTCAAGCTTCTAGAAAAAGAACAAGTCAAAGCCAAAGCTCATAAAAGGGAGGAAATTATAAAGAGCAGAGCAGAAATTAAGTCAATTAAGGCTAAGAAAACAATTCAAAGAATTAATAAATCGAAAGTTGGTTCTCTGAAAGAATAAATAAAATTGATAAATTCCTTGCCAAATTTATTAAGAAAATTAGGGATTGGGGATTTAGCTCAGCGGCATAAGCACCTGCCTTGAAAGTGTGCGGTCGTGAGTTCAATCCCTGGCATCAATAAAAAAGAAAAAGACAAAAAAAAATTTTTTTAAAGAAAATGATAGAAAAAAACTCAAATTCATGAAATGAGGAATGAAAAGGGTGAAATCACTACAGATCCTGTGGAAATTTGGGTCATCAGTACCTACTTCCAAAATCTTTACTTGCATAGGCTAGAAAACACATAAATGGACAGAATCCTGGAAACATATGAATTACCAAATCTTAATCAAGAAGACATAAAAGTTTTGAATAACCCAGTATCAGTTAAAAAATTGAAAATATAATTAAAAGCTTACCAACAAAGGAAATCTCACATCCTGATGGATTCACAACTGAATTCCACAAGAAATTTAGAGAATATTTAATACCAATACTCCTCAAACTCTTTAATGAAATTGAAAGGGGAACAATTCTCCCTAACTCATTCCTGGAGGTAATTATTATCCTGATACCAAAATCAGAGAAAGCACAAAGGAGAAATATAGGCTAATCTTCCTAATGAACATAGATGCAAATATCCTCAATAAAATACTAGCAAACAGAATGCAACAAATCATCAAGAGTATTATACACCATGAACAAGTGAGACTCATCCCAGGAATGTAGGGATGGTTCAACATACGCAAATCAATAAAGTAATACACCACATCAACAGAGCCAACTACAAAAATCACATGACCATCTCAATAGATGCAGAAAAAGCTTTTGATAAAGTCCAACATTTCTTCATGATAAAAACCCTAGAGAAAATCAAAATACATGGTGTCTACCTCAATCAGATAAAGCCCATCTATGACAAACCAACAGCCAACATCAGATTAAATGGTCAAAAACTGAAAGCTTTCACTTTAAAATCAGGAACAAGGCAAGGATGTCCATTATCACCACTCCTGTTCTATACAGTTTTGGAAATGCTAGCCAGAGCAATTAGACAAGAGAGAGAAATAAAAGGAATAAGAATAGGAAAGAAAGAAGTTAAATTAACATTATTTAAGGATGACATAACTCTACATGGAAGACCCCAAAACCCCCACCAAAAGACTACTAGAGTTAATAAGTAAATTCAGCAGTGTAACTGGATACAAAATCAACATTCAAAAATCAATAGCATTACTGTACACAAACAACAAACTCCCTGAGAGAGAAATTAGGGAGACAACAACTTTCACAATGACATCCAAAAACTTAAATACTTAGGAATCAATCTAACAAAAGATTTATATGTTGAAAATTACAGTACTCTGGAAAAGAAGATTGAAGAGGATATCAGAATACAGAAAAATGTATTTGCCCATGGATAGAAAGAACCAACGTGGTGAAAATGATCATATTCCCAAAACTGTTAAACAGATTTAATGCAATCCCAATCAAAATACTATTATCATACTTCACAGATCTAGAAAAAACATTAGTAAAATTCAGGAAACAGAAGAAGCCTAGAATAGCAAAAGCAATCCTGGAAAACAAAGGCAAGGCAGAAGGTATAACAATCTCAGACTTGATACTATATTACAAAGCTACTGTGATAAAATCAGTGTGGCACTGGCCAAAAAAAAAAAAAAAAAAAAAAAACCAGACCTGAGGATAAGTGGAACAGGCTAGAAGATTCAGACACAACTACAAAGATACTCAGCCACCTTATCTTTAACTAAGGGGCCAAACATGTTCAATGGAAGAAAGATTATATATATACAAGATAGATAACTGTACTACTAAGTGTTAGTACACCGAAAAGAATGGTCTGTGCTTTCATTGATTGATCTATTTTTATGCCCATATATTATAATCTGAACATCTACTTTGAAGATAACAATATGCAATGTATTAACCATTGTTAATTTGCTAATATTTTGTTTGAAATTCTGTATTATCACTTTTTTATTTAAAAATTTTTTAAAATTCCATAATGTGTCCCTGTGCTCTGAAAAGATTACTTGAATCCATGATTTTAATACATAAGTAATAGCCCATTAAAAGGAATTAACCATAAATTATCTAAACATTCCCATATTAATAGACATTAAGGTTATTTGCAACTCAGCTATAACAAATAATACTGCAATGCACATCCTGTGCATACACCTTTTTTATAAGGCTGAAGTTTGTTATGGTTGTGTCTAGATGTCTCCCAAAGTGTCATGTGGTCATAGTTGGGGCTTTTTCAGGGATGGCTGAAATAGAATGCATGATTCATTCATGGTGCAATACTAGGATTAAGAGTGGGTGATTTAGTAATCAGTCCACTGATTGGCTTGACACTTCCCAAATCTAGTAGCTATAGACAGTGTAAAGGGCAGGAAGAGACTGGTCTTTCTCCTTGCTTCCTTTGCTACCTTCTGCTTGCCATGAACTGTTGTGTCCCTGTCATGTCACCCTGCCTTGGAACTAGCAGATTCAAGACTGAAACTTCCACAAACTGTGAGCTAAATAAACCTTTCCCCTTAAACTTAGTGTTGGGTATTTTGTCTCAGCATCAAGAGAAAAGTAACTAAGAATTTTGCACCAGAAAAGTGGGCTCATTGCTGTGACTATACCTGACTATGTGCTTTAGGTGCTTTTGGGACTGGCTTATGGGAAAAGTTTGGAAAGATTCAGAAAAGCCAATTGAAAGAGTGACCTGGAAAGCTTTAGGCTGTACATGATGGGAGACTCTGGTTACATCTCGGAAAACTGGAAGGCTGATAGAAGTCTGAAGACCAGGTTCAGGAAGATTCTCCTGGGAAGAAGGACTGCACTGGCTCTTAGCCTCCAGACAATGTGTGTTGTGCCTTGACAGAGAATTAGTCTACATTTTGCTTGTGTCACAAGTCTTTTCCTGAGACTGAGATTAAGGATGGCAAACTAATTAATCTGCAGAAGAAATATCAAGGCAGTCTGATGTTGCAGTGGTGACATGGCTACCATTGGGGGACTTTAGCCAGATGTATGTTGAGAATGAAGATCA